CCCCTATAATTACCACCGTGTTAGCATGACTGATAACTATCCCCCTCCTATAAATACTGTGTGATGCCGTACGATACTCACCTCCGACGATGAAAGCTTGTCTGCTTTTGAAACGTGAGGACAATACAATCATGGTTCCCGAGATCGCCTCTTCTTCTCATATATATATATATATATATATATATATGTATGGATATAAGCGAAAATGCTGATTCTAGGTGTAGAAATGGAAGAAGGAGATAAGGCGTCCTCCCCAGAGAACAAATGCGTTTAGTCTTCATCAGCAAAACGCCATTACAAAGTCATTTAATTGTAGGCTACTTATAAGGGAAGGATTTTTTGTTCTGCTTAAAAGCATTCACTTTGGTGATGAGAACATCTTTTTAGACTAGCCCCCGAATTCGGCCCAGGTGGTCATATATGGGAAGGACTTTCCACGAGCGCACACTATGTTGAGGCCAAATTTAAAGAACTTCCGCCGCCTGATGGTTTGGATGGCAACAAATTTGGAGAGCGGCCGATCTGGCGTTCATCATTTGAGCCGATAAATAACAAGGCATTCATTCAAGTCGTAAAGGATGCCTTTGTTTATACCGATAGTCATAGACATCTAATGCAAATTGTGATGTTGCAGGATAATGCCTCTATCCACCGCTCAAAGGAGGTATAATTTTAATCCAACTTACGACCATAATCCGATATTTTAGACCATGGCCAGCCTCTTCGCCTGTGGCCTTCGAAGATTTTTTATCCCCGCCAACAGCCCGGTCCGTACTTCAATCGAAAAGCTTTTTAAACTAATAAGTAGAAATTGGGATTAGTCAATAAAAAATATTTCTGTGGGATGGAAGTTACAATTTTTGCTTAATTAAATATATATACCAAACAACTATTGGCAAGTTGGTAGTCTCAAAACCCCCCGGCCTTACAGCAGTTTTAAAAGCTGAAGGTCAATCAACAAAGTACTGTCATATTATATATTTCACTTTTTTTTCATTTTTTGACGCTTTATAAAATTTCCCTTTTCTTCTGGCAGTTATATTACACCCAGAATAGTTGGCCTGCAATACAGTGGATTTTTGATTTCGTGGTTTATCCAAAAATAAGTTATTCTTTAGTCCATGAACAATAATTTATCAACCAACATTTGCCTTGGTTTGAAGCTTGGTCGTAAATGTAAGGAAGAATAAATTTCGTGGGTATATGGTGGTCGTGTCGTGCGCCACAGCGATTTAGGTTTACATTTTGTGACATTTCCTCAGATAGTTCACGATCTGTAGCTTATTCTCACTCTCAACAGGCCGGGGTGATTCACAAAAACACTCCAAATCAAACATCGGCAAGGCTTCACTCAGCCCGCAGTGGGGACCACGAGAACATATTTGATTTGTTCATTCAACATTTGTTGATTATTTTGCCTTTTCTTTTTCTCTCGCACATCAGGTTATGTTTCTAGTCACAGTCACAGATTAGTGCGTCAACTTAATGTTCACAGTCACAGATTCCAGTTTGTTAACGAAGTCTGAACCATTTGGATGTCGTCCGCAGCTTGCCGACGATCTCCAGGTGAAGAGCATGAGATGCGTGTTTGAACGGCATAATTTGTTCATAAAACAAGCGACGTTTAAGTTAAAATATTGGAAAACAAGACGTATGCACAATGTTCTTGTAGGATATTTTATCACTTCCCGGAATTACTTAGCTTAGACAAGTGAATTGGCTTTTTGTGCAATAAGCGCCGCCGGTGCCGCATCATGCTATTTCTTCTCTTAATATTTCGGACTTACGCTTGAGCCCGTCATCATATGCAGCTTAAAATCAGGTAAATTCATATGCAGTCACTGTTAAAGTATACCTGTGAAAAGTAACGCACACAACAAAGTTGGATGAAATTGCTGTTTGTGCGTCAACAGCTTGGTGGCCGACATTGGCGTTGGTGACCGAAGCAAAAACATTCGCATTGGTGTAAGATGTAGGCATGATGCCGCCTCTGGTGACGAGTCCAAAGGTCATGGTTCCTTTACGTCTAAATACTTTACCTGAGTGCGAGTCAGCCTCACAGCAATTAACTTATGTAAGGCTTTGTCAGCTATTCGTATGCTGGTTACATACCTAAAAGCATGCGTGGTATATGCCTACCCTACACTTCGTAATCGAATTGCATTGTTTAATAGACCTACATTAAAGTAGTACTAGTATACACTGAATAAGAGTGCTGCAGTCAGGAAACGTCAATTTGCTGAGGTTACAGTAAATGTGCTAACTCATGAAATGTCAACCAACATTTCAAAATGCTTTCTCGTTTCGAAAATAAAAATAAAGTAGTTTTGTAAAACTACCCATGATGCAGCATAAATCTATAATGATATAGTTACCTCAGGGTGTCCGCTTAATGACAAACTTAATTTCGGCTGCATGCAGGATCTATAATCTGCAAAAAAATGACTGCTTATATGGTATGCAATTTTATTATTTCGTGAAAATTAAATTCTATTTCATGGAAACCATGCATAAGAATATTAAGTCTTCCACTCATTCGGTAGAAAATCACGTTTTTCTAATTTCATACTCAAAAGACGAGTATTATTGAGTTTTAAAAATTTTCTACTTCCCGAATAATTTTAAACCCGCCCTCGCTGTTACACTTGCGTTCAGGGTTTCAAATTTACAAGCCGTATATTTTCCGCGTATTGAAAACCATGAATTTCTCTACGGTGTTTAGATGAATGCATATGAGGTTCATAAAATTAAGCAGTGGATTGGAGCAATATCGCTTACTTTACAAGCCACATTCGTAAATGCCGATACATGACGTTTCATGAACAGCCATTGAAAGGCATTAAAAAAATCTCCCAATTAGAAACTTTTTAAAAACCGATTTATAATTTTATTTCTAGTATGAATTTGGACGCAGACATGATCTTCTACCGAATACGTAAACGAATGAGTATTTTTATGCATGTTTTCCACAAAATGTAATTTAATTTTCAAGGGCATCGAAAATCACTGAGAAAATTGCATGCTTCAATAGTAGTCATTTTTCTGCATGCAGCAGACAATAAATTCTTTCGAAAGCCCACACCCTGAGGTAACTGGATCATTATAGATTTATGCTACATCATGATTAGTTTTACAACACTACGATAATGCATTTCGAAATTTTGGTTGTTATTTCATGAGTTAGCACATCTACTGCATAGTTCCGTGATGCCTGGCTATCAGATAAAAATCGGTTATGATCAGTGCGTGTACGTGGACTATTCAGTGCATGCGTAAATTCTCTAGTAAAGTGAACCAGTGTACCTATGACGTTTTCTAGGTAGAGAAAAGCACTCTATTTCACATGTGCTAAGTAGTGGTACGGTGTGTGAGACAGTGTGTCAAACATGCTGACCGACCCGCACCCTATGCCACAATTGATCTCCAAAGCAGCAGACTTTGTTTGTGCACTGTTAAAAAAGTCAACTCTGGTACTCTTACTGGAAAGCATGCATTCTGGTATGTGTTCACAAGAATTTCAGACTATGGCCTGCATACCGGTTACTGGTTTCGCTAATCCTAAACGCGACTGATGCACTAAGCACCTTGCCTGAGGCAAGAAGACCCAAAAGCAACCCGGCGTCCTAAAATGATAATTTTGTCCCAGCATTGGTCAATACGCCTGTCATATAAGGCTATGCTCACATCTCCCAAAGCAGTTACCGCACTTGAATGGCAAATGTTTCTCTGGGAACTCTCACAATATTCGTGCTCATAATTTACTTGCGTCTCCTTACAGCATGCAGTTACAAAGCTGACATCTGTAGGTTTCATTAATTTAGTTACCTCCTCAACATACTGTCTGCATTTCCGAATAGGCCGTCAGATCTACTGGTTTTTTAATGTGGTGGAAGCATTTCATTAACAAATCCTAAATCAGGGTCGCTCAAGGAAATAATTTCTGTGGTTTAAAAGACATATGTATGTCAATTGAATTGTCTGGCATGTTACGTGTGGCATAGCCATTCGCAGTTCGGCATGATTTATGCAGTTTAGCCATTAACTTACCAATGTATTTAAATACATGTACAATTTATTAGTATATAATCATCATATTTCACTTTCTGCAAAATTCCTGAGCGGCAGGTCTACACGAAAGTCTGATCAGTGACATGTATTTTATTCATTTTACTTACCTTCACAGGCCTTGCATTTCATTCTAAGGTCAATGACTTGCTATTAATAAAGAGCGCTTATGTGTTTAAATTCCAGCAGTACCGTCCTGTCTGCGTATCGGGGAGGATTTACGTCTTGTCGACATCTTGCTGGATAGATTTCGTCAGAATACTGTGTTTAGAGCCCAAAAAATGTACGGCGGAAATAGCACCACCAGATTAGTGATTCGCGTTTTGTCTAAACCACTAATGCATTATTGCTTTATTCTGTCCCAAGCCATTGAAGAACACGGCTTCAGATTCCAATGCAATGTAACATTTCCTCTGATGCGCATACGTCTGATTCAAACAGTAAACAAAATTAATTGGTATTTAATGTCGTCTTACAGTTGGACATTAGTATTTTGATCTAGCAGTTTTAAACCACGGAGAAACCCATAGTTTATATCTAAAGATCAAAAGGTTGGCTCAGTAAAACCAACTGAGTACGTCCGTTGGTTTATTTAATAAAGTGTCATTCTTAGTCATTTTCTTTCATATGAACAGTGCCTGCTTGTGGACGAGTCCCCCAGCAAGTTTGAATTCGTCAACTGATATTATTGTGTTAGACATCGTCAACAGATTGTGCATCTAAGTTACTGAAATAATATAGTTACAGGAAATAAATGCTTCCGCCGTTTACAAAGCATCCTGCCAGTCAATTAGGAAATCCAGAATTATTCGTTGTATTACGCAAAGTAGTAAGACACCTGTCTCCACGGATTATCAATAAAAATGTGTTCGATTATGGTTTTCTGTCTGCGTTTCTTCATTATTTTATAGGTTAAAATGCATCCTATCATAACAATGGTCTTTCAGCCTGCACGTATTGACAAATTGGACTTTGACGTGGAAAATGCGGACGCGATTGCCGACTTCCTGCTTGCATCCAGCGCACTGGCAAAGCGCGATCTTTTGCATTTCAACGGATTCGTCTTTAATGACATTGCTCAGAATGTCAACGGACAGCGTTGGAAGAAGCTAACTCCATGGAGGCAGGATGCGTTGAGCTCGCTGGACCAGCTTGCGTCTGAGGCGTCTGCCATTGCGTTGGCCTTTTCTTGTTCCACGTGATCAATGTGCTGTTTGGTAACCACACCAAGCTTGACGCCTTACAATATATATTCTGCCTTGTATATTGCAACTTATTTGACAAGTGACGTTTTAAAATGAATATATCTATCTGGTAACACGCGCTTTATACTTATGTTGTGTTCGTAGATGAAACGTAAATAAATATTGCTTTTTATACTCTGAAAAATCATAAGCTTTGCAACATGCGAGGGATTTTAAACTTTTGCGAATGAACTGAAGCATGTACAGCTTATTAAAAATTTCATTCAAAGAAGGTCTGAGCTTTTGCAACAGTTTGCATGAGCGCATAAGCAAACACCTATATGAAACTAAATCATACCTTGTTAATACGATAAAACATCTCATTTACCGTCGTTTTTAATGATGATAAAATCCGGCCAGTTAGCTTTTAGTTCGTGGACTTTATTTCCACTAAGGCCAAATTTTGGGAAACACCGAGTTCAACTACCTAACCGTGTCAAGTGAATAAAGAAGCATCGAACTCTTTACAACTATGTGATCACAAGTGAGGGTAGTATGATGGAAATGAGCTTAGTGGCAAGTCACACATAACCGTTTTAGTGTTGGGAAATCGCACCGGTTTTAGTCAAATGCAGCATTGACTCATTTAAGCATTTGCAAATTAAATTGCAGTTCACTATCGGATAAATCAACTGAATCCTCATAAACTATATTCTGATTCATGGATTAGATTTACTTTGATTGTATGCTAATTGTGGACATTTTAGCATGAAGTTTATTTGTAATTCGTCCAGTTGCCATTTAAGACAGCATTTAGTTCCGAAAAACGAACAGCAAAAATATAAAATCACCTCATCCTTAGGTGCTTCTTGACGTTTTCTTTCTAAGAAACCTCCTGCCTGAAAGGTACGTTAACTAATTTGTTTAGCGCAAAGCTCACATTCAAAAGACGGGCCTCGTTGTGCATGTTAAACACATCGTCCTTAGCTCTTCGATGGATTCTCATAAAACTGAGGATGGTTCAAGTTTTGACGGGTTATGAAGTAACGTATTGCCTCAAAATTCAATCATTAAAGTCTGAATTTTCATGACACACAACGTCTATACTTTTATTGTGCAAAGTGTTAAAAGTATAATTACAGAGCAGCTAACCACGCCAAACAGATATTACGGGACTGGAGAAAAGCAGTGTCTGCAGCGCCTTATCAAAGCATCTGCAAAAAATAAATATAAATAAAAGTAAACTTGGAATAAATGCGACAAGGCTAACGAACTAAATTTTTCCAGATCAAGTTTGACACTAAACACAATGCAGATTTTGCTGATTACGCAGGAACCACATGAAAATACTCCGTCCATAGCGTGTTCCTCATTCCCTTCAAACTCTTTCTCAGCTAAAATAGTTTTTGCTGGCTTGTACACACAGGGGCGCTGGCAGCTTGCCTCAGAAAAGCTTGCAATAAAAAGACCACTGCGTTTGCGTTCGATAGGTGTCTTTTCTGACCGAACGTTAGTAAACGAACTGAATTCCTTAATTGCCGGAGCCAGTGTGGAATACAGGCGTTGCAGTAGTACCTGCTGCTGCCCTGCAAGATGTGACGACCTGCAAGGCTTGCGGCAGCATATTGACTGTAAATTTCAAAGGCTGCTAGGATGTTGGACTTTAGGACTCATTCACCTGTTTGCTAATTAACTTTATCCATTAAAAAACAGACGATAATTTCTAAGTTCTTGCGTTTCTAAGTTCACTACATCCGTCAGCGCTTAGCTTACAGCGGGATATAATATCCGTTGAGACCAAGTACGTGTGTATGTGAGGAATAATGAGAAAGAACTAGGTTAGCGCCGATGTTGATGAAGACAATTGTCGAGGCGCACCCTCCAATGTGATTTGACTGATAATTGAGGACCAACTTCTCGCGCGCGCGTTTCGAATTTGGTTTGAAATTTTCGTCCTCCGAGGGGTTAATATTCTTGGAGATTTCCGCACTCTGGATGCTCCTGCAGTCAAACGGATTTTAGAAAATTGATTCACAGACAGCAATATTAGCATCGTCATCAATTTACGACACCACCTTTGCAGAACGTGGACTTCGACTCTAACAGTTCTGCATATATGCTCGTATACGAGCCTAAAAAGACCAATCTTCCAGCAAACGAAACGCCCAGAACAAAGGCTGAGTCTCACTTCGAAATTAGACTTTAGCTGTACTTTTGCTTCAAAGCATTAGCTTAAATTTCTGTTAACTGTAGTGCCGTTAAATTCGACTAGGTTTCTGTTGTTTGACGTCTCGGAGCATTCGCTTAGATTTCCGTTGCCTTAGGCCTTCTTTTGATTGTGTCTGTCTTCTGCTGCCAACCTTTCGGCCGTTGTTGTATCCTTGACTTTGGCGCATTGAGACATGGGAAATGTAGAAGTGTACGATCCATCAGTCCCGCGGGATGAAAAAAGGGCGTGGGGAGCGGGAGTCGAACCTCCGACCGTCGCCTCACGAGGCGAACTCCTAGACCCCTCGGCCATCGGCACCGAGTCTATGATTACAAAGAATATTAATTGCATTAGCCTCACGGTTGGGGAATGTGCCGGATTTTGCCATGAAAATCGTGCACTAGCAACTCCATGCGGACCAGCGTCGATTCACGCCGGGCAAGGAGGATCTAACGAACGCAGTACGCCAGAAGTGGTTCAAAACAGGACGGAGGTGGCCCGCAACGCAAATTATCCCGGGAAATTCGCCACGCCTACACAAGATTTTTTACCAGATGATGAACCTTTAAATTGTGGTTCGCGGTGTAAATATTGTCGAGATCTCGCGTTAAACATTACGTCGTTGGAGACGAACATGAACCTCCTTATAGATCTCATTGCATTGTTACTAAAGTATGATAAATTCAAGTCAATTGATGAATTCAGCAGTAGCCAACAGATAGTTTCGAAACTGACAGAGTTGACTAACAGCAACCCACTAGTAGAGGGATCACCGTTTCAGGAGATCGCTGGCTGCAGAAATAAACAGAGTGCTAAGAGAAAAGGTAAACGGAAACATGAAAATACAGCCTCACCCTCACCAAGAGCGATGATAAACGACACTCCAAAATCGCAAACTACGTTGCGAAGTGATAATGGCAGTTCACTCTCATCATTGAGAACTACCCAGCTGAAGAACAATGACCAGCCCACCGGCAGAGTAGAAGCTGTCCGATCTCCACCACAGAAGAAGGTAAAAGGATTCGACATAGAAAAGACTACTGCATGGACGGAAACCTCAGAGGAAATCTCGGAGAATATGACAAGGCATGATATTAATCCGCCGCAGAAGAGCAGAAAGCAGACGCTCACTGCCCCCCGCAATGTGACCGAGGAGAACCAAGGAATTAATAATAAGATTCAGACCGTTCACATGCAACTGAGGTCACATCAAAAGAAGCAGTTAAATCAAAGGGGACTGATGACTGAGAAGAGAGAGACGGAAATCGGACGACTTCGGAGTACCCGAAGAAAGGAACTTCCTGGGGTGGAAAAGCAGAATTCGTCTGAGCAATCGACAGAAACCTCCAGCGCCAGCGTAGACACAGACGCGGCAAATGCGAATATCCTCTGTATTGACATAAAAGACATGAGCAGTATTGCCCCAAACACGAAACCATTAGCTGCAGAAGAGATCCCTGGAGTGGATGGCAACCAGAATGTCATCATGAATGGTTCGCCAGGAACTCCCAAGTCACCAACATCACGCAACCAAGACCGGCCGCTCCGAGAACAGTGCCTAGTAATACAGGGACTTCAGGAGCCTCAAGCAGATACACCTAAAGAACGCGTATTAGCTGATCTCGGCTTGTTCCAAGGTCTTCTAAACACTCTGCTTCAACCCGATGAAGAAATTTCCGTGTTGAAAGCCTTCAGACTCGGAAAGCGCTCTACTGAACCCGCTATTCCACCGCATCCTAGGCCCCTTAAAATTGTTCTGAGTTGCAAAGAGCATGTTGATCTTATCCTCTCAAGACGTTTTAGGTTAAAATATTCCCACCAAGGAGTTTTTTTTCAGCCGGATTACACACCACCGGAGCGGATAAAACGCCGACAGTTAGTTCAGGAGCTAAGGCTGCGACAAACGAATGGCGAACAAGGCCTGGTTATCTACAACAACTGCATAATCGAGCGACCGTCCCGCTTCATATGGACACGGCCCGTGCGTATGTCGCCACAGCCGAGACAATTGGCAAAGGCGGCGTCATAGCCGGCTTATCAAAGGAAAAAAAACTAAAATGCTTGTATTCCAATGCGCAAAGT